TGTTTATTCTTTACCTCTCAATATCGTCGGGCTTAATAATAAGATCTCGTCTGTTCGAGGCCCACTTATAAGACTCTGATAGTTTGAGATTTTTTCGTGGGATGTTTATTCCTCGCCCCTCACTATTATCGAGTTTAGCTATAAGACCTCGTCTATCCGAGATCCGTTTATAAGACTCCAATAATTCGAGAGCTTTTCTTTGGATGTTTATTCCCGCTTCGCCATACTTATTTCTGACTTCGCGAGATGTTTATTTCTTATCTCTCACAATTGTCGAGCCTACTTGTAAGATTTTGTCATTTCAAGACCAGTTTATAAAACTCCAATAGTTCAAGAACTATTCACGGGGATTATACCAAAGTATGGCACATGCCTTCTATTGTCAAAAGCCATGGAAGAAGTTAAAGCATGGATGAATCATCTACTATGCAGGGAAGCGTAGGCGCTTCGACGAAGAGCGGATCCTAGAGAGGACTACTTCTTAATTCATGCGGATGGTAAATGCATCTCATTCACAAAAAAAGTTATGGGAGAAGCCTCTTTGTAAATAAACCATCTACCATGTAGGAAAGTGTAAGCTCTTCGACAAAGAGCGGATCCCAAATGGGATCACCTCCTAATTCGTCAAAGTGGAAAGCACATGACTCCTATTGACAAAAGTCATGAGAAAAGCCTCTGCATGGACGAACCATTCACCATGCAAGGAATCGTGGGCATTTCGACGAAGAGTTAGATCCCAAAAGGGACCACTTCCTAATTCGCCGAAACGGATGGCACATGCTTTTCATGTACAAAAAAGCTATGGGAAAAGCTTCTATATGGATGAACGATCCAACATGCACGGAAGCGTGGACGTTTCAACGAAGAGCTAGATCCCAAATGGACCACCTCCTAATTCGTCGAAGAGAATAGCACGTGCCTCCTATTTACAAAAAGCCCAGGAGAAGCCTCCTAAGTGTACAAAAAAGAGCTTAAATTCAAACCTTCGAATATGACCTTAAAAAAAGCTTCATCTTCATTTAAGCATACACTTCAAATTTTAGCAAAATTAAAGCACTGCTTCAACACTTTAGAGCCTCGTCTCTACATCAAATTTCAGCAAAATTGAAGCATCACTTTTTTCAATATTTTTCAAAACAACTCAACATTCAAATTAAGGCTTCTACATAAATTAAAAACTTTTCATGAGAGAAAAGATGTTGCCGAAATTCCGAAAAATTATGTGCAGTATCTATCTTTCGAGGCAATTCGTAATTCCTCACTTATTCAGGCTTGAACATATATTTTTGAGGCAATTCGTAAGCCCTCATTTATTGTAGCTGTTCATATTTTTGAGACAATCTATAAGACCTTGCATACTTGATAGCTTATATTTCAAAGTTCGATCCGCACATAAATGTACAACTTAGACTTGTTGGACTATTTTTACATCTATAAATTACGTGGCATGCAAGTGACGAAGGGGGTTTTATATATGCCGATGTGACTTCGACTTTTCAATTGATTGAGCCTATTAAACTAAGTAACCGCATTTTGGGTTTGGGCTTGATCCATTAACCCACATGGGGCATTTACTTTTTCCTATATATATGTGATTCCATTCACAATCAAGATATGGTCTCTAACTCTAATCAAACCCTCTCTTTCGTCTCTTGCACTCATATTATCTTTTGTCCAGTCATTGATTTGACTGTCGGAGTACAAACGTTCGTCGAACCTTTTGTTAATAATAATCGTAATTTCAATATAACATGTTAAAAGAAAGACATGTAAAAATTGAGAAGATATTCAGTTTGTTAAACATTTCATTCCATTTAATGGTTCGCTAAATGCAACAATTAAACAAAACTTACATATTAGCCGATTACGACAGATTTATTGCGAATAATGCTTACCATGACCAGTTTACTATTTGTAATAAGATTCATAAAATAGACACATGACCAGTTTATATAGATTTAGACCAATTTGCACCATTATAGTAAAAGATTGAGAATCACTTTGCCACACCTTAAAAGGCTTGAAACTCAGTTGCTACTAGAACAATAACTTAGGTACCAAAGGTGCAATTTTTATAATTTATGAAGATCTTGGCTCTGGTTTAGTCAAACTAGGTTAGAACAAAAGTTCCTAGCTCCATCGTATGATTGTTGACTTACCATCATGCTACATGTACATTAATGTCAATTTATTTATCACCAATTGAGATTTTCATGAATTTTAAAAGATTATAAATTATAATGAATTTTGTGAATTTGAATAAATTTTTTCAGAATGCAGAAGAATCTTATTACAAATAGTGAAATTTCAGAAGAATTTGATACCAAATCCATCCAAAATTCTTGAAATTCATTTATTAAAGAAATCCTTGTAAATTCACGAGTTATTGGGGATATATGTTTAGACATTAAAGAATTTCGTTGAAATTCGTAAAACTCTCAGTTGTGGACATATATTTTAATGAATTTTAATAAAACAAATTAAAATTTTAATTGGGAACATTTAAATTTAGGACTTTTAAAATTATTTAAAATCTTAAAATTTCAGTTAAAGACACTTCTGTTATTAATAAAGTTCAATTAAATAATAAATTGGGGCTAGGGTGTTATTTTGAAAAGTTCAAAGGAAATATCTTATCTATAGTATATTGGGTGTGTTTGACCCCCCATTTTTTGAAGATAAAATTTTTTAGAATAGTGATTGATGGAAGAATGTGTGGAAAAGTTATGAAAAGTTTTAGATTTGTGTGTAATATTATTTTATTGGAAGAATGTGTGGTTGAAATGAAGTAAGAGAAAAAAATGAGAATAAGAATGAAATAGAGAATGGGTGCCAAACACGAGCTAAATGTTAAAGGGTGGTTATATTGTCACTACAATTTTTATTTGGCACACGTAGTTAAACTCTTTAATCTTTACTGTTAGGAATATTGGGTCTAACTCCACTTAATAAAACCGGCTTATTAGGGGAGGATTGTTCTCACCTTATTAAGTGGATCATTTATATTTTCCCAAACAATGTGGGATTCTAATACGCCCCTTCACGCACAGCGTGGACCATGACAAATAACTGTGAACAAATCGATATTGGGTGGCACCCAACATTGCATTATTGGGCCTAGCTCTGATACCATATTAGCCGCAAATGCTATATCTGGACGAGTATACGACAAGTAAATCAGTTTTCCAACAAGTCTCTGGTATTGTTCTCTGTCCAGGACTTCTTCAGGTTTCGAAAGATGTAATTTGAGGTTGAGCTCAATAGGTGTTTCGGTTGGTTTACACCCTAGCAAGCCTGTTTCATTGAGCAAATCAAGGACATATTTACGTTGATTCACAAATATACCTTCTTTGGATCTAGCAAACTCCATCCCAAGAAAGTATTTCAATGTCCCTAAATCCTTGATCTCGAAATCTGCTGCAAGTCTCTTCTTCAGTCTTTCTAGTTCTTCACTATCATCACCTGTCATGACTATATCATCCACATAAACAATTAGTATAGCAACTCTTCCTTCTTTACCATGTTTATAGAACATGGTATGATCAGCTAGGCTTTGACAATAGCCACAATTCTTCACCGATTTCCCAAATCTCTCAAACCAAGCTCTAGGGGATTGCTTGAGGCCATACAATGACTTCTTTAGTCTACAGACTTTCTTTGATCCCAAATTCTTCTCAAAAATGGGTGGCAGACTCATAAAAACCTCTTCCTCAAGATCACCATTTAAAAATGCATTTTTTACATCCAATTGGTGTAATGGCCAGCTCAAATTTACAGCCAAAGATAATAGAATTCTAATAGAGTTTATCTTGGCTACTGGAGCAAAGGTCTCCTGATAATCAATCCCATAGGTTTGAGTGAACCCCTTAGCTACTAATCTTGCCTTATATCTTTCTATGCTACCATCCGCTTTACNCTTTGATCCCAAATTCTTCTCAAAAATGGGTGGCAGACTCATAAAAACCTCTTCCTCAAGATCACCATTTAAAAATGCATTTTTTACATCCAATTGGTGTAATGGCCAGTTCAAATTTACAACCAAAGATAATAGAATTCTAATAGAGTTTATCTTGGCTACTGGAGCAAAGGTCTCCTGATAATCAATCCCATAGGTTTGAGCGAACCCCTTAGCTACTAATCTTGCCTTATACCTTTCTATGCTACCATTCGCTTTACACTTCACAGTAAAGACCCATTTGCAACCTACAGTCTTCTTCTCCTTAGGCAAGACAACTATCTCCCAAGTACCACTTCTTCTAAGAGCATTCATCTCTTCCATCACTGCTAATTTCCAATTTGGATCGCCAAGAGCTTCCTGAATATTTCTTGGGACAAACAAGTGTGAGATTTTTGAGGTAAATGCCCTATGAGTGTGAGAAAGTTTGTCATAAGAAAGATATTGAGCAATGTGATATCTAGGATTCCTAGTGCGATTTCGAATTCCTTTTTTAATAGCAATGGGAATATTAAGGTCTGATGATTCTTTGCTAGGGAAAATGATGGGAACTAAAGATGAGTTAGGATCGGACATACCCGTGATATTTGCAGGTCCAATGCCCGAGGATTGTGATTGATCATTACCAAGAGTAACTTTTGATGACGTTTTCTCCGAGTATAAACCAGAGGCTCAGTGTTAGAATCATTTTGATTCAGCTGTAGTAGTGATTCTCCCCCTGTTTCAGATACATTAATGTTCGGCATTATATTACCTGAACTTCCTTCACTATTCTCACATTGTTCCTGACTTTGAAGGTTGGAAATGGTAGGAAGAGAGAAATGAGGTATAGTAGTCAAAATTAC